ACAGGGGCCATAGTGGGAAGTCCATGTGGAGCACGATCTGCGTGAGGGGTGTGCCGACATGGGCGTAGCGGCGCCATGTGAGCACCACTACGGGGACCACAGGTGAAGCTCCCTATGGTGTACGATAGTGAAGGGTGTACCGAAATAGGCGCGGCGGCGCCATGCGGAAACCCCGATTGGGGCAACAGGCGGAGCTCGCAAGGAGGGACGGGGTGCTGGCAGGGCAGCGCGTAGTCGTCATCATCGTCGTCATCCTCCTCGCTGGGCCTCCTGTGGGCCTCTCTGTGCCTCCGTGGGGGCTCTGGAGGCATCTGGGGAGCTCCGAAATATTTGTATGCCCTCGATGGGCCTGCGAAAGCATCTTGAGCTTCCATGGGCCTCTGGGGACCTCTAGCCGTGGCGATACTGGCACTGGGGCCATGCGTGGAATTACCTATGGGGCCTCGAAGCGTGTGAGAGGTGTGCGGAAATGAGGGCGGCGCCGCCATGCGAACATGCCCACTGGGGCCGTAAGTGGACCTCCCTTTGGCGCCACGAAGCGTGTGAGTGGTGTGCCGCGATGAAGCGGCGCCGCCATGCAAATATCGCCTCAGGCGCCTCAGATGGAGCCCCCTACCCTATGGGGCCACTAAGCGTTTGAGTTCGTGCCGAAATGAGGGCGGCACCGCCATGCAAACGTTGCGACTGCGGCATTAGACCTTAGGTGGAGTTCCCTATGGGGTCACGAAATGTGTGAGGAGTGTGCCGAAATGAAGCGGCGCCGCCATTCGAACATGGCCACTGGGGCCTTAGGTGGGGATCCCGATGGGGCAACGAAACGCGCGAGTGGTGTGTCACAAGGGCGGCGGCACCGCCATGCGAACATACCCACTGAGACCGCAGGTGGAGCTCCCCATGGGGCCACGACAAGTGTGAGCTGGCGTGTGCGAAAGTGAGCGCGGCGCCGCCATGCGAACATTGCCATTGGATCCTTCTGTAACCCCCCATATGGCTACGAAACGTGTGAGAGGGATATGAGGCGGCGTTGTTGTACGAACATGCCCACGGGGCCCTTGGGTGGAGCTCCCCATGGGGCCACGAAGCGTGGGAAGAGTGCGTCGAAGTTAAACGGCGCCGCCATGCGAGAATGCCAATTGTGACCAATGGGTGGAGCCCCATTTGGGGCCACGAATCGTGGGAGGGGTGTGCCGACATTCAGCGGAAGGGGAGGAAACGGGGAGAGGAGGTGTGAGGTGGGGCGGGGGCGCTGCGGGTTCAAAGCAAAGAAGAACGATCGAACATCGAGAGACAAAGACGATATATCGACTACGACGAGAGAAGTCTGTCCCAAGGGTAGTCTGCCGTCCTGTGTCCGTTTGTTATCGCGCCGAGGGCCGCCCCGTTTGGAAAGGAGTGATGGGGGAGGGCAAGGGACGGGAAGGAGGGAGGGGAGGGAGCATGGACGGATGAGGGGAGAAGAGAGGGCAGGAGGGGAGGCGAAGGAGCGGGCGGGCGGCGGTCGCGACGACGACGACGAGAAAGGACGGAGGGAAGGAGGGAGGGAGAGAAGGATGGAGTTTTCAACTGCAATTTCTATGCAGACGTAGTCTGGCTGGGAGGGAAGGAGGGAAGGAGGAAAGGAAGGACGGAGGGAACGAGGGATGGCGGAGGGAGAAGTAGGAAGGTAGGAGGGAGGGAGGACAGGAGAGGGACGGCGGACGAAGGGAGGAGGAGGGAGAGAGGGTGACGCTCAACAGTCATCATCATGATCAGCATGGCCACCATGATCATCATCATTGTTATCAGTACCGCCACCAGTATTCTCAGAATTGTCAACGTGGTCCTCGACATTGTCATCGTTAGTATCATTCGCATCGTTACTGCCACCACCACCAGCGATACCATCATCGCCACCGTTATGATCATTGACGCCATCACAACCCCGATCACCACCATCACCATTATCAACACCATCACCATTACCATTATCGTCGTTACCAGCTCTACCATCACCAATACCATCAACATCAGCAACAGCACCGTCATCATCATCATCAGCATCATCAGCATCATCAGCATCAACATCATCAACATCATCATCATCATCATCATCGTCATCGTCAACATCATCATCATGATCATAACCATCACCACCACCATCAACTTCACCATCATCATCATCATCATCGTCGTCGTCGCCGTCATCACCGGCAGCAGCATTATCATCGTCATCACCATCATCATCATCATCAGCAGCATCAGCATCAGCATCAGCATCAGCATCAGCATCAGCATCAGCATCAGCATCAGCATCAGCATCATCATCATCATCATCATCATCATCATCATCATCATCATCATCATCATCATCATCATCATCATCCGCATTCGCTTTACAATGGCGGGGGCGATGATGACTGCATGCGGCGACTTGGTATGGACTGTGCATGGTCCAACGGGGTTGCGCGCAGTGATATCTGGCCAACAAATAGTAAGATGTGGTAAATACAGACAATTCAGATTAAGATACTTGGTACTGGGTAGCTTGGCTAAAATAATATCACGGGAACTGTTCCTCATATTGATGTGTTCTTGTTGCCTGGGCATCAATTCATGCAAGACGCGCGCTGGAGCAACCCGCCTGCCTAATGTCCCGCCCTTCCATCCGTCCTCTCTTCTCCTGCCTTACGGGCTGCACGAAATACACGTTGCAGGTAAGACAGATATATCCCTACGGGGGTGCTATCGAAGACGACGAGGGCGGGTATCGAAGATTTGGGACATACGGGTTGACTTGCACGCGCAAACAGACTTCAACTGATTGGTGTTGTTAGTGCTAATGTGATTGAGAACGTTGGGGGTCGTGAGCGTTTGCCGCTCATGTTCGGCATCTCCGTGTCAGAAGGGTGACCGAATACCCCGTCAGGAATTTGTAATGCGTCTGCGAAACAGAGCGGCTTTAGCCTGGGTCTGGAATCTTCTCGAATGAGGATGACCGTGACCATGGTAACCAGCAGAGGCCCGTCGAACATCAAGGTTGCGCTGGCCATTCCGGCCTATGGGTGAACAACGCCGCCTTCAAGAATTCCATAATCTGTGCAAGCCGCGATCCTGTCGCTATTGGCAAATCTGCGTCCGCTAAGGTTGTGAGCGCATCCGCATACGATCTCGAGACTGCATTGTTGTGCTCGAAGACATTGGACGAGGACCTGTCTTCCAAGGTCTTGGGGTCTCACTACAGCACGATCGAAAAATGTCTGCCTGAAACGATCCCGCACGCCTGGCCCAGTCCAGCCGCGACGGCGAGTCGATACCAGGCGGCCGAACAGTGAGAGAAGGAGCAGGAGGAGGAGCAGGAGGAGGAGGAGGAGGAGGAGGAAGGGCACCGGGAGTACAGGAGGGGGGCGGGACGCAGGGGCAAGTGGGCAAGAGAGGCTGGAGAAAGGCGGCGCCCTGGTCTGGCCCCAAGGTGGTCCAACTCCTCCAAGAGGCAGGGGGAGGGCCAACAGAAAAGGCGGGCACTGGCCGGGCCAATCTATACTCAAGGCGCTCCTGCATCGATCTGTCTGGGCTGCTTCCCATACCCCAAACGCTGAGATTTCGGCACAACGCGGGTCCCGGGAGGTCTGGGCCCCTTCTCGAGGACCAATGTGTTCATCACGGGTTGTCGTGCGACAGTCTCGGGACCTGATGGACAAGGCCCCTGGAGACCGAATTCCGCAGTGGTCTTTCCACGACGCGAGTGTATCTGGGCTTCAGCTCGGACCTCCTCGTCCCCCCCCCCTGCCCCCCTCAGAGGGGCGGGGCCACCGTGGGTCTTACTGGAGCCGCGGCCCCGCTCGGCGCCCGCAGCCGTGCCCGCCTCCGCGCCGCGGGAGGCGGCTCGGCCGGCCCTGATTTCACCTGAGCAGGCGGGCCCCAGGCAGAGGTGGCCCCAGGCGGGCTGGAGGGGGGAGAGGGCAAGGTGCCGCCCTCCCCCCTCCCAGGCCTTCGAGGACTCTTGCCCTGGAGGCTGATGACTGATGTGCACCTCCTCGACGTCCTTCCTCCTCCTCCTGCTGAGAGTCCCGCCCCCGTCCTCGAGGACCCCCGCCCCTGAAATGCTGGTGCCCTCCTCACGCTCCGCCTCCTCAATCCCATGCCACTCCTCCTGCTATTACTTCCCAATCCTCCTCTGTTGAGATGGGTCCCCGCGTTGAATCCGCAACGCCGCGCGTCTCACCTCACACTCCCTCATCTCATCCCCTATCCCTGCCTCTGACTTCCGTCAGCATGTCACGTCGGCACACCGCTCACACGTTTCGTGGCGCCCCGGATGGAGCTCCACCGACAGCCCCAATATGCGCGGAGGTATGGCGGCACCGCCCTATTTCGGCACACCCCTCATACGCTCCGTGGCCGAATAGGGATGCACATGGTGGGATCCCCGTGCCGAAAAATTCACTCTGGGTGGACTTCTGACGGTCTCGGGGGCCGAAATGGAACTCCAGAGGCAGAAAATGGCACAGAACCTCCTCCACCCTCGATCATTCTGCTTATCCTCCTCATCGTAACACCCCTGATAATCCCCTGATTAGAGGAACAAGCAACGACGATAAGCTTTAGCTGTTGGAGGTCCGCGCAAGTTTCTTGGATCCGTGCTGGACCCCCCTCCCTGGCGCGCGGAGCGCGCTAGGGGCGGCACGGGAGGCGCCGTCAGGAGGCCCAGCGCAGATCCAAGAACTTCGCGCGGAGCTCCGAAAGTTTATGTGTATGCAGTGTTCTATGTTTCATCATGGCAGCACCCCTGAGAAGCCCCTGAGATGAGGGGCAACGATCGGGGGGACTGGCCTCGGGAGAAACACCGACCTGGAATCGGCGATACATCGCCGAAGTATCGGCGACAGGCCCCCGATGGGAAATCCGAATGTTCCTGGGCGGAGCGGGGCTATCAGACCACCATCGGCGATCTATGGTCGATTGGAGGTCAATGCATCCCCCTACGACGATCCTCCCCTATAGCTGCCCCCGAGAAGACTGCCCTAATTCTCAGGCGGAGGCGGCAAGGCGTTGATCTTCTCGGCGATGCCGATCTGCGTCCTGGGACCCCCGCGGTCGGCCGGGCGGCCAGGCCTCCGAGCCCGCTCGGCGTCGGATCCCGCTCGGCCAACCGAGGGGGCAGCCGAATGAGGTGGGCCCCGGGAGCGCTCGGAGAACAGAAAGACACGGTGCACATCAAGTCTCGGAGGTCCGCACGCACTGCGTGGGTCAGGGCTGGAACCCACTCCTGCCGGCGCCGCTGGCACGGCCCCATGGCGCGCCTCGCGCGCCGGGTGGGCGGAGGTGCAGCGCCGCCCCCAGGAATCCGCGCGGACCTCTGGGCGTTTCGATGTGTGGTAAATACACGTCGGCAACATAACCCGATCGGAGGCCGAACGGGCCGGGGAGCTGAGGGGGCTCGGAAGGGACTGGGGAAATGATCAAGGGGCTCAAGAATGGCCAAGCAAATTCTCCCAATACCGCTGAGCAAATCCGACGGCCGCCTTGCGAGGGCAATTAGGCGGCGAGGAACAGGCCTCATCAACTAAACATCTCGGTTGGCGTAAGTGTCAGTGTATGCAAGGTGCAACCAAGCAAGCTACAGTACTCAGCATGGAAACCGCCATCTTGTAATCACAGGCCTCTAAAAGACAACATCTTTCCTGCAACGATGACCCATGCACTGATGCCCGAGTTCTGAAATAAGATCAGGGAAAGCTCTCAAACAAAGAATTGCAAAGTTACTGCGGAGGTGAACCTCTAATTTCTGAGACCGCGCGCGAACCCAAACGACCCGAACTGATACTTCGTCAACAATGTTTCTGGCTTCCTTCACGTCCACGGTGCCCCACGATCCTAGCGGACGCGTGAAAGCTCGTGGTCCGCAATCCAAAGGCCACGATCCCTCCAAACGAAAACAATTTACCCGCGGTCCCAAGGCCACGATCCGTAGTAAAAACTCAGTGGGTCCGCTGTCGCGAGCGGACGGCTCCGAACGACCACAGAAAACTACGGGTCCAGCCACCCGGGGCCACGATCCTTTTAAAAATACCATAGGACTGCGCTCCCGAGGCCACGATCTCCAGTGAAAAACGGTTGGTATGTCTTTTCGAGGCAACGATCCTGTAAAACAACTGCGAACGGATCCGCGCTCCCGAGACCGAGACCACGACCAATGTAACAAACTGCGGGAGCACGCTCTCAAGATCACGACCCCGGATATCACAAAACAGTGGATCCGCGCTCCGGAGATCACGATCCCTGTAAAAAGCTGTGGGCCCACGCTCCCAAGGCCACGACCGATGGTACAAAACGTCTGTCCACTCTCTGGACTCGCACGCCAACCAGGCAGCCTTCCAAACGGCCAGCCAGCCAACCCGCCGTGCTGCCAGCCCGCCAATCAGCCCGATCCCAATCGACACAGCCACGCAGGCAATCAGGGGGGGGGGGGGCCCAGCGGCAGAGGGCGAAGCCCTTCAGGCAGGTATCATCGAAACGGGCCTGGATCAGGCGGGTGTCGGTGCTTTCTGGCATCTGCAGGGTCTGCCTGGCCGTCCCTGGAGGGCCCCCCCGGTGGCCCCCATGGTGGCCAACCGACCGCGCTCCTGGTGAGGTTCGAGAGGTAGACGACCATGAGGGCGTCCTGCAGGGCGCTGTTGCAGAGCTTCTCCACGGAAGCCACGTCTATCACTGGCTCCTGCGGATCTGATGCTCCTCCTCCCTCCTTTTCCCTCTTCCAACGCGATCCCCACCCCATCTGTCCTGAACACTCGATCCCCCTGCTCCTTACAATTCTCCACGTGTTCCAACCCCCTTCGCCTTCCCCTCTTTCGTTTCCTTCTCGTACCCTCCTTCTGATCAGGGGCTGCACCAACGGCAGCAGATGCAGTAGGAGGAGTGATGAATGAGAGAGGAGAAGCAGGGAGGAAAGAGTAGAAAAATACCCAGCTGCCCTCCCGTAACATGATAATGAGTGCCTGTATACATGGATCGTGGGACTGGCGCGCTTCTTCCTAGCGAACGAACGGGAAACGCTCGCGCGCGCGCAGCACCGCTTCCGACAACATGACGGAAGAAGACCAATGGCGGCGAACAGGCGAAATAAGAAGTCCCAACTGAACAGAAACAACAACACCATTCAACGGTTTCCGACAGGACTGGCGAGGGCAAACCGTGCGCCGCGCCCAAGCTCGAGCAATTTCCAGGCGAAATCTGCAAAAGCGACTGCAACATTTGCTGTCTCGTGCACGGCCCCGTTTCCGACATTTGGGCGAGCGAACACATGCGCCGCACACAAGCGGGCGCGCCACTGACAAACAAAATCTCCGAGGGCGACATTTCGTCCGTTCGCTCGCGGACCCACCCCTGACGAATTGGCAAGCGAACAATGTGAGCCGTACCCAAGCGGCACCACAAGTGTCACAAACATGCATGCGCGGCGCTGCAGCCAAAACGACATGTCACCACCTCGCGCGCAATGTGCGCCGCGTCCCTTTTCTGCCCCACGTGCTCCATCGTCGACGTCGGAACGCATGGAAGGAAACGCGCAGGCCCTGCATTCTTGTTTGAAGGACAAGGTGGAACAGCCCAGGCGTGACCGCGGATCGGTCGGCTAGGCTGCAAGAGAAGGACCAGATACACCGACGAGGAATGAAGACAGGATAACGTTGCGGCCGTTACTAGCCCCAGCCGCCCCCCCCCCAAGGCAACGTCACGAGTCGCGCTGACCTCCAAGTTGGCTTTAGTTACTCCTGGACGCTCCCAGACGGCGCTGGCGCGAAGGGTGGCACTACACTGGCCCCCCGCCCCCCCTACCCCCCCTCCCTGGTAACGGCCGCGGTCGCCCGGGGATACAAGGAACGCTCTCCAGGAGGGGGAAGGATGTTGGGGGCGAGGGCCCAGGCGCCGCGCACAGCGCCGCCGTCAGCCCGCGGCCCACGGCGAGGTCGCCCTCCAACCTGCCCGAGGTGACGGCCTGCACGTACTCTCGCATGCGCCGGAACAAGCCGAGAAGCTCCTTTAAGCATCGTTTAACCGATCCCTATCCCCACTGGCGTGGCCTGCTGGCCGATTTCCCCCCTAGATGGGGGATGTAGGCTGTTTCCTTCGGGCTTCAAGTGTACATCTCCAACTGGGGTGCGGGATGGTGGGAATCGGGATAGGGAATATGGGAATCGGTTACACGATGCTGATCCTTGAGGCCGCCCTCGAAGCCGTCGAGGGACGCCAGGTCCTGTCGGTCGGGGCCTTCTGTCTGGACCCACTCGCTCCCACGCCCCCCCCCCCCCCCCCAAGGCTTCTGGAGGGTGGGTCGGCGGCCAACTTGTACGGGTCTTTCTGTTCTCCTTGTTCTCCTCCACCTCCACCTCGCCGTTTCCGGCCCGTCCATTTCCGTCTCCCTCCTCATGCTTCCCCTTTATCCCGTCCCTCTACTCCCACCCCGCCTCCCTCCTCCACCTCCTCCTCCTACTCCTCCTTGTCCTCCTCCTTCTCCTCCTCCTGCTCCTTCCCTCCTTGCCCTTCCAGCCTGCATTATTCCTCCAATCCACCCCTTCCCTGTCTCCACGATTCCCCCATATGGATACAACGCCCTACTCTCCCCCGACGATGGCTGGGGAGTAGCCTGCACCCTCCACGTATTATTTGCAACCTACAGGACATCAGCATTTCGTTTATCCAATCCCGCCACGTCCTAAGTGGGGTGCTTATTTTCTCTGCACCCCCCTTAGGTGTCCCCACCTCCAGATTCGAATCCGATCGGGTCATCCAAACCATGCAACTGTCGTCACGTTTGGACTCCTCAGGACTGAACATGGGTCCCTGCCTTCACGTTCGAATCCGAGCGGGCCATCCAAACTCTGTAACTCCCGCCCCTGTGTGGGCTCCTCAGACCTGCGTGTGGAGACTGCCTCGGGCGGGAGCTTCTCTCGTGAGTGAGTCGCGAGGGATTCTCGAGCGGGAGCCCCTCTCTATCCCGAGGGGCCCGCACAGCCACGTTAGAATCCGAGCGGGTCATCAAAACTCTGTAGCTGCCGTCCCTGTGGGTTTTCCTGAGGTCTGAGTATAGAGACCGTCTCGAGCGGGGGCCTCGTCTGGGAGTGAAACGCGAAGAAGTCTCGAGCGGGAGCCACTTCCGATGGGGTCCCCACCTCCACCTTAGAATCCGAGCGGATCATCCAAAGCCTGTAACTGTCGTCACCTTCGGGCTGCTCAGGCTTGAATGTGGACGAAGTCTCGATCGGGAGCCTCATTTGTGTCGGCGCTCGCACCCCCCCACAGGGATCTGACGAACAAATATTACGAACAATTCGGATAGCTGCAGCAAACGATGACATTCACGACATCATCCCGCGACGCACAGAAAAGCGAAACCAACCGCATAGTAAAGTGCGTGGCGCACGCGACTAAATCAACATTGTCTGCAAATCTGCCGGCACCCTCGGCATGTGTGAGGGGCTTGTCCGTTCAAGTCGTCATCTCCGTCATTCGTTGGTCGTCGTCTCTGTCGTCCCCGTTCCCTGCCTCCCCCCTCCCTGGGCTCGTCGAAGCTCCCCCCGAGAGAATTTCTTCATGTTCGGCGATGACGGGCGTCATGGGGGGGGGGGCGGGGGGGGTATGACGTAACGCCCCCCCCCGCCGCGTGGCTCCGGCACAACAGCCGCGCCCGCGCGCACGACGCGACGAGCGACAAGCGACGACGACGACGACGACGACGCGAGCAGCATGTAGGTGGCGATCTGCCCCCCTGCGCCTGTGTACACCACAACGCTCGCGTGCACCACAGCGCGCGTGTACACCACAGCGCCTGCGTACATCGCAACAACCATGTGCAACGCAGCGCCTGTGTACTCTGCAGTGCTTGCGTACACTACAGCGCCGGTGTACATTTGCACACTGGAGGCAACCATGTGCAACGCAGCGCCTGTGTACACCACGATGCTTGCGTGCACCGCGGCGCCTGTGCACGTCACAACGCCTGTCTACACCACAGCATCCGCATGCAGCGCAGCGCTATTGTACACCACATTGCCTGCGTGCATAGGACAGGTAGAAGGAGCCTGTACATGAGGATCTGCTGCGGAAGCGCCACGCCAAGAATGTGCAGATAATCGAATGTGACTCTTTTCCCTATTCCCTGATCCTCCACTTCCATCTCCTCCTCCTCCTTCTCCTCCTCCTTTTCCTCTTCCTCCTCCTTTTCCTCCTCCTCCTTACCCCCTGTCGTGCGGGTTGGCGCTACAGCACACGTGCGCAACTCAGCGTGCACCGCAGAATGGTTTATTGAATCGGCCCACTTGGTTCTCGCACGGCCAATTTAGCTGGAGCCTCCTGTGCACTGGTGGGGGGATTTACAGTGATGCGGGCGAACTCGAAAGGACTCGTAGATTCCTCTGGCGTTCCCTTTTCCATACAGATTATTCTCTGCTTTCGGCGGAATCCGCAAACGCTCCATTTTGTCATAATGATTCCTTCGAACAGTCTACATTCAACAATGGTGTTGTGTTGCACACGGTTGCTGTGGTGCACACAAGCGCCGTGGTGTACACAGGCAATGCACGCACGCATTGTGGTGTACACTGCTGTGTTGCACACGGCTGATGTGGTGTACGCAGGCGCTGTGGTTTACACAAGAGCTGTTGCGCCCGCGCGCGCGGTGGCACAAACTGACGCTGTGTTGCACGCGGCTGCTGTGGTGTACATAGGCAGTGTGGTGTACACAGGCTCTTTGGTGCACGCAAGCACTGAGGTGTACACAGGCGTTGTGGTGCAGATCGCCACCTACATGCTGGTGCCATCCGTCCTCCGTCATTCCTAAGCATTCCGAGACGCCGCCGGCGCGAAGCGTGACGTCATCGAACCCTCCACCCCCCCTGATGATTGCCGTCATCGGCCAAGAATAAACAAACAAAAAAAGGCTCCAGCCGCGTCCGCGCGCACGACGACGATGAGCGACGAGCGACGAGCCACGAGCCACGAGCGACGACGACGACGTCGTCGACGACGACAACTGCGGACCAGACTCCAATGCGGATTCCTACGCGGACACCTACGCGGATCCCAATACGCACGGCGGCAGTGCCCGGAGCGCACTGGGGGGGGTAGCGTTACGTCATAGGGGGAGGGAGCGGGTGCCATGACGCCCGTCATGCCCCAAGCAAGAAAGAAATGGGCTCCCCTTTCCCAGGGACCTCCTCAGCGCGCCAGCCAAAGCGAAGTTTAGCAACGTCGAAATTGAGTCGAAAGGAAGCCCCTTCCCTTCGATCCATCCCCCGCCAGGGGGGGGGTTCGTGGGGGGGGGTCCCGGGGGGGGGTCAGATACGACGCCACCCCTGGTAGTCCCAGAGCTCCAAAAAGCCCCAAGACGGGCCAAGACAAGAGGCCCCAAAGACAGTCCAAGAGAACCCCGAATCGCCGAACGATCTGTCCAAGCCGCCTTGACGGCCTCCAGACGGCCCCAGAGGCCTGCAAAGCGCCCCAAGAGGCCTCCAGGAGCTTTCCCACGAGAGCCCCAGGAGGCAAAATGAATGGATTTCCCTTGCGCTTTTGACAGATTGTGGCGCTCTTGCCTCTTCCGCTTCCCGACGCGCCAAGACGGCCCCCAAGATCGCCCCGAGACGGCCCAAGAGGCCCCCAAGAGGTTCACCTAACGGCCGAAGAGGGCCCCAAGACGGCCCAAGACGCCTCCAAGACGACCCAAGAGGCCCCCAAGACGGCTCCAGAAGAGTGCCCAGACGGGGCAGGAGAGCCCCAAATTGCCCAGGAGGCCTCCAAGAGTGCCTCGAGACGGCGCAAGAGGAGCCCTGGACGGCCCAAGACGGCCTCAAGAGAGCCCCAGGCTGTCCTAAGAAAGCCTCTGGCCTTCTCCTCTTCCTCTTCCTCCTCCTCCTCCTCCTCCTCCTCCTCCTCCTCCTCCTCCTCCTCCTCCTCCTCCTCCTCCTCCTCCTCCTCCCCCCTCTGCTCCCCCTCCTCCTGCTCTCTTCTGCCTCCTTCCACTCCTCTTGCTTCTCCTCCACATCCTTCTCCCCCCTCCTCCCCCCTCATCCACCTCCTCCACCCTTCCTCCACCTCCCTTTCATCCTCCTCCCCCTGCCCCCCCCCTCGTTTTCATCTTCGTCGTCTCAGGGTCGGCGGCACCGGCCGTAAGGCCTTCGCAATCGACATTGTCTGCACTTGCATGCAATTGAGCCCCTAAGCCTGAACCATACTCTCCGCGGCGCGACCTGGCCGCTGCCGACCTGGGGAAGAGGACGCGAATGAAGCAGCCAAGTGAGCCGCCGGCTCAAGAGGAGTCGAACGTGCCCTCCGTCAGTGGCATCCAAGAGGGCCCTCTGGATGCTACAGTCGAGGGGCCATTCGAAACCCCCAAGTCCAAGCCCCCCAAACGGCCCGGGAACCCTCAACACGGATCTGGCGGGCTCCAGGAGAGCACTCCCAGGGCCGCAAGGGTGCTCCAAGATGGGCCCCAGTGAGCTCCTGGTCCGACTGCGTCTGGCGGATGCGGAAACAATAACTCTTGTGCCCTCTGCCCTCTTCGGGGTCACTTGAAGCCCCCAGGGCGGCTCTGGAGGGCGCCGGGAATGCCCCAAGAAAGCCACAAGGGGGCCCCAAGAGGGCTCCCACTGAGCCCCCGGCCAAGATCTGCCTGACGGAATCTTAGGCGATGATTTCTTGCGCCCTCTTGGGGGCCGCTCGGAGCTCGACAACGGCCCCCAAGGGCCTCATGATGATCAGGACCGCGAGAAAGCCTTGAGAGGGGCCCCAGCGGATCCCCGGCCCAACTCCGCTTGACGGAAATTGAACACTTGATCTGTAGTGCCCTAATGGGGGCCGCCAGGAACCCCCACTGGCAGGTCCTAGCAGTAACCACAACGCACCCCGAATCGACCCTCTCCCTCCTCCCCCCTCCCTGCCCTGCCTGCTTCTGCTCTCCCCCGCCACTTCCATGTCGCCTTTGCCAGCGCCATTCACGGCCCCACGAACGCAGGCGACGGCACCGCCGCAAACAGCCGACGAGAACAGCCACGAAAATTGACGACGGGAAGAACACATGCACCGCCCGCGCGGGGCAACTTTTCCGGACAAAGATCATTGCCGCTGTGATTGTCGTTTCGAGCCCAGGGGTGCGCAAGGTTATTCGCCCGGCGGCCCGCCGCGGCGACGAACGACAATTCGTCGATCCATTTTCGTCGGTCCACCCCGGACGACACAAAAACAAAGCGTCGTTCCAGTTTTCGTCGCACTCGTGCCCCCGAAGATGGAAAGGGCCATGAGGGCGCGGAACAGGATGGAAACGCCAATTTCGACAAATCGTGAGACTCAAACAGGGCACGGTGGGTGCAGTCCACCTGTCAGACCTGCACTGCTACCTGCCTGGGGAGTGGCGCGCGACTTGTACGACGATGAAGCACAGCGCCCTATGAGCGCGGCCGAAACTCCAGCTCCAGACGCGGGCAGCGAAAGAGAAAAGGAAAGCACAGGGAGGGAGGAGGAGAGGATGGGAAGAAAACCGATGATTTCTTGCGAATCCTCCCCCTTCAAGAGCTAATTGACAGGGGAACATGCCAGGAGGATGCGCCGCGGAACGTCCCAAGGGACGCGTCAGGCGACGTGCCAGGGAACGTGCCGCGGGGACGCGCCGCGGGACGTGCCGAGGGGACGCGCTACGGAACGTGCCCATGGACGTGCCACGGGACGTGCCAGGGGACGCGCCGCGCGACGTGCCAGGGGGACTCGCCACGGGACGCGCCACGGAACGTGCCAAGGAGCGTGCCAGGTTGCAATGCTGAAGGTATCGATCTTGATTTACCGTGCCGAGGGCTGCGCTGTGCTGCGCCGTGCTGAACTGCGATGTGCCATGCCGAGATTGTGCTCTATAGCGTTGTGGATCGAGTCCTCCTTTGTATCCGAGTCCTGACCGAACTGATCTAGATCTTCAGCTCGAGCTGCCTCAGCACATAGTAGCTGCCCCAGAGCTGATTGACAAAGGAACATGCCAGGAGGACGCGCCGCGAAACGTCCCAAGGGACGCGCCACGCGACGCGCCAAGGGACGCGCCATGGGGTCGCACCGCGGGACGTGCCAAGGGGACGCGCTACGGAACGTGCCCATGGACGTGCCACGGGACGTGCCAGGGGACGCGCCGCGCGACATGCCAGGGGGACTCGCCACGGGACGCGCCACGGAACGTGCCAAGGAACGTGCCAGGTTGCAATGCTGAGTGTATCGATCTTGATGTACTGTGCCGAAGGCTGTGCTGTGCTGCGCTGTGCTGAACTGTGTTGTGCCATGCCGCGATTGTACTCTATAACGTTGTGGATCGAGTCCTCCTTTGCATCCGAGTCCCGACCGAACTAATACCAGGAGGACGCGCCGCGGAACGTCCCAAGGGACGCGCCAGGCGACGTGCCAAGGGACGTGCCACTGGGACGCACCGCGGGACGTGCCGAGGGGACGCGCTACGGAACGATAAAATACGTGGTCCTTGCTCAGGACAACCATGTTCGATATCCCCCTGGATGGCCTGGACACCTAAAAACACATGGTGCCAGCTCGGGAAACCATGTTAGGTACACTCCTGAATAGCCTGGACACGTCAAAACACGTGGTCCTTGCTCAGAACAATCATGTTACATATCCCCCTGGGTGGCCTGGATACGTAAAAACACGTGGTTCAAGCTCGGGGCAACGATGTTAGATATCCCCCTGGGTGGCCTGGACATGTAAAAACATATGGCTACAGCTCGGGACCACCATGTTAGATACCCCCTGGGTGGCATGCACACGTAAAAACACGTGGTCCAGCCCGCCCAGGGGGGATATCAAACATGCGGTCGTCTGGAGCGCAGGAGGGCCCAGGAACGCCCAGAGGCGCCTCGAGGCCAAACAATCAACGACTCGATACCACATATATATATACATATAATATATATATATATATATATATGTATATATAAACTCTCGGCGTTCCGTTCCGAGTCCCAAGAAGGATCCAGGAGGCCCATGTTAGATACCCCCTGAGTGGCCTGGACACGTGAAAACACGTGGTTCCAGCTTGGGACCACCATGTTAGATACCCCCCTGGGTGGCCTGGACACGTGAAAACACACGATTCCAGCGCAGGACCACCATGTTAGATGCCCCTTGAGTGGCGTGGACACGTGAAAGCACGTGGTTCCAGCTCAGGACCACAATGTTAGATACCCCCTGGGTGGCGTGGACACGTGAAAACACGCGTTTCCAGCGCGGGGCCACCATGTTCGATACACCCTCTGGGCGACATGGGCACGTGAAAACATGTGGTTCCAGCTATGGACCACCATCTTAGACACCCCCTGGGTGGCCTCGACAAGTGAAACACGTGGTTCCAGCTCGAGACCAACATGTTAGATACCCACCTGGGTGGCCTGTACACGTGAAAACACGTGGCTCCAACGCAAGACCACCATGTTAGACACCCACCTGTGGCTTGGACACGGGGAAACGTGGTACCAGCGCGGGACCACCGTGTTAGATACCCACCTGGGTGCCCTGGACACGTGAAGCGACGTGGTTCCAGCTCGGGCGGAACAAGTTAGATACCCCCCTGTGTGGCCAAGTAAATCCTGAAAAAACAAACGAATTAGTCGAGACATCGTCGAAATCCCTGCGCGCGGGACGCGGCACGCGCGAGTCATCCTCGGAATCCCTACGCGCGGGACGCTTTTCTGCTTTGCGGTCGGGGCTCCAGACCTATTTTTTTGGAGTCTGCTAAAAATGCCCCGCACCCTCTTGTTCACGAAGGAAAACGGTGGTCCACGGACCCCGTGATTTATCGAGGATCCGAGATGGGGGGTAACCTCTCCTCGAGCGGGCACACGAAAAATGCACTTGTCCAACTGCAAATTCACACTTCACCTGGTAATTCATCGCAGAATACTTTCGCCAGCCCTAGAGCCGTCGGGTCCAAGGGTAAACCTCTAAAAGAGAACCCTGGGCCTATGCCCTTTCCGGGAACATCTGGTCCAGGTCGGGGCCACCATGCTAGATGCCCCACTGGATAGCCTGGACACGTAAAAACACATGAAAACAGGCCCCATACAGGGACAAACATGTTAGATACCTCCCTGGCCGACCCAGGCACGTGAAAACAAGTACTCGCCTGAGGCATCCTCTGACTTCTACCCCCTAGGAGAGGAGCTATCTATATGACAAAACATGCGTTTCTCTCGAAGAATCCTCAACAGATTCTGCAGAAAAAACGATTCGTTCAAGACATCCGGACCAAATGAAAATGTTAACTTTACCATGTGCTTATCGATCGGAATTTCAAAAACCAACGTTTCGCTCAGGACATCCTCAACATTTAATCCGCCTGCCCTCTTCGACCTCGTTATCGATCGCACAATAATCCGCCGGCCCTCTTCGACCTTGGCACCGGGGACAGGTGTCCCTACTAAAAGAAAACCCTGGGCCCATGCCATTTCCGGGAGAAAGACAGCACGCGGAGAGAACCTGCCATCGTCTGGACGGTGTCAGGGGAGAAAGGCAAGTAATGTTGTACTTGTGGAGGGGGACGGAGGAGAGAAAGGCAGAATGTGTAGTTGTGGCGGAGGGGCGGGAAAATGAGGGGCGCGTGCTGGGTTTGTGCCGCACTCCTTGGGCCCCGATCCGTTCGCCGCGGCCTCGCGCGTGAGGCGCCGAGCCTGCATAAGCTGGGAGATCCCGGACTTCTCCGCTGCGCTCGTCTGCACCCGCAGGGGCACCTCGTGAAACTGCAGGAGGCTCTCGGCGATCTTAGTCTCCACGTTCACGAACGCCTTGAGCACGAAAGACTGCTGCGCTCCGAGAGCAGGGTCCACAAGCATGTGGATGGGACCTGGCAGCACTGCCGTGGGCGTAAACTGAGACTCCTTGGTGCAGTAGAACTTGTGGATCATTGCCGAGATGGGTGTGATCTCGCTGCCTGTCGCGAACCACCCAACGACCACCTCGCGGGGGGACACCTTCTGCCTGAGTGCAAGCATCTGCTTGTGGTAGTCCTGGTCCATCATTACGCCATCGGTTGAGCTTTCCTTGTGGACGACTGGGAAGCTATCCGTGATGTCAACTACGCTGCCTTCGCTGATCCAGCCTAAAAGCGTCCCGATGATTCTCTTGGCGCCCTCTGGCCTTCTTACGTAAGCGTCTAAAATCTTCAAGATGGCCACAGGGTGCACGCGGCAAGTCATTGGCTGTTCCACGCCGCTCCTCTGTATGCGAGACGCGATATTGAAGCACTTGGGCGGAGCAACCTTCGGTTTCTTGTCGGGGAGACCCCACATCGTCACGTTCTGCGTGGAGCCAGCCATTGCTGCGATCTCTTGGGGGCAAAGGATGAAACGTTCCAGCCACGCAAACGAGTACAGCTCGAGCAAACCATCGAGGGAAACGAGACACGGTGGCGTGCTGCTCCTCATTCCGTCTTCGAAATATAACTACCCCACCCATGTTTCTCACTTTCCGCATCCTTCCCCCTGCTGTTCCCCATGCACCTTCATCTCTCTCCCACATGAGCAACCCCTCCGCGTCGCACCACTAGATGTGTCGGCAAGGCGGGCCCGATGTTTCGGTTGAGAACCCTCACAATGTATGGTCCTGAGGCTTCATATTTCCGACGGACACAAATATCCAGGCAGGGTCTGTTTCAAGTGTGGCTATCGCCTAAGCGCCTCGCACATAGGTACTTCACATTTCCATCCATGTTTCCACCAGGTACAACGTTGGAGGGTCAATGGTGCTCGACAGTGGTGTTCAAATGTGATTGTCGACTGACTTAGTTCCGCGGCAATCCGCCGACTAAGAATTTCAACATCTACCAACGTCCACCAACTGAACGCGAGGACGACCAACGTTGTCTAGCAACTACACGGGTGGACGGCGGTTCCTTCTCGAAATTGGCCTCTCGATTGGGACCTTTTTTCAAAACTCATGCCGACATACGTAAAAACAATATCGACCCACGAACCCGGAAAAGGAATATAGAAATGAAACGCATGGCAACGTTTTCAACGACACCTGATTGGGTGACGGGCAAATGCGATGCGGAGCGTATCGGTCTTGATGCACCGTGCCAAGGGCTGTGCTACGCTGCGCCGTGCTGAACTGCGATGTGCCATGCCGCGATTGTGCTCTATAGCGTTGTGGATCGAGTCCTCCTTTGCATCCGAGTCCTGGCCGAACTGATCTGGATGTTAAGCTCGAGCTGCCTGGACACATAGTAGCTGCCCCAGAGCTAATTGACAGGGGGATATGCCAGGAAGACGCGCCGCGAAACGTCCCAACGGACGCGCCACGCGACGTGCCAAGGGGCGCGCCATGGGGTCGCACCGCGGGACGTGCCAAGGGGACGCGCCACGGAACGTGCCAATGGACGCGCCACGGGGTGTGCCACGGGACGCGCCACGCCGTGCCAGGGTGACTCGCCAAGGGGCGCCCCGCGGAACGTGCCAAGGAACGTGCCAAGTTGCAACGCTGAATGTATCGGTCTGGATGTACCGTGCCGAAAATTGTGCTGTGCTGCGCCGTGCTGAATTGCGATGTGTCATGCCGCGATTGTGCTCTATAGCCTCGTTGATCGAGTCCTCCTTTGCATCCGAATCCTGGCCGAACTGATCTGGATCTTAAGCTCGAGCTGCCTGAACACATAGTAGCTGCCCCGGAGCTGTTTTTTCTCCGCGACGCAAAGCTTCGCGCAACCTCTGAATGACGACAGCGGGCCCCTTAAACGTGAACCGGGGGCGAAGTGCTCCCCAGACGAGCGGCGAGTGCTGTCACCGTCGAAGCGCAACGATAAGAACGAGGAAGACGCAAACCAAAAGATGGGCAATGCAATGCGTTGCAGGCATTTCGGCGACATGCGAGCAGCCTGACCTGCGAGCGTGGCCGAAATAACCAGGACTGGCGCCGGCGAGAAGCAGTTCAAGGAAGAAGAACAGCGAACCAAGGCACGACCCACAAAAGGGAAACTCGCGCGTGCGTAACCAGCTAGCTCCAGCCAGCGGGACCCGCACCGGTGCCCAACGCAAACAGTGGGAGGGCAAGAGGGGGAGAAGAAGAGGAAGGGCGGAGGAAGGATAAATAAAAATTGGGCGCGAACACTCGCCAACAAACACATCATGAGATAGGCGGGCACTGCGGTGCCCAGCTCGGCGCACGCTGCTCAGCAGCGGCTGGAGGGCGAGCCAGAGCTGAACATGCACCTAAGGGTCGGCCGGCAGCGGCTGCCAACGATCAGCGCGCCAAGCCCATGCAGGCACAGGCATGAACTGCCAATTACGGAGGAAGGGGGGGGGAGGGAGGGAGGAGAGGAGGGGACGAGACGGAGTGAGAGAAGCGGAAGAGAAAATACGGCGTTCGAGCCGGCCCACTCACCGCGGCTGCCACGCGACCTGGGTCGCCCTCATCGCCTCCGGGTGGCCGCGCACCGCGTGCCGCAGCGCTTGTGGCAACATCTCCCGCGCGACCTCGGCGGTGCAGCCGCCGTGGACGGTGATCAGGTAAGCCCGGTCGACGGCTGCGACCCGCAAGGCGGCGAGGGTCAGCGTCATGTCCCCCCCCCCGCCCGACCTCGTCAAGAAGCAGAAAACTACGACGACGCAGATGAACATCGCCACGAGGGGGGCGTAATCGTAGATATCGGGACGAGAAGTCCCATACATGCGGGCACATTGAATAGTGTTCGATTGAATCTTCCCCACAGCTGCAACCGAACACACACGATCCATTCCTCTGGAAGCGGCGCGATGTAATCCAGCCGTTCCAGAGTGTTCGAAAGACGGCAGAGGAAAACCGAGGCGGCACAAACCCAGTCAGGCGGGCGAGCATATGTAGTGCACGGTCCGCTCGCACGCGCGGGAACAATCTGATGCCCCAGCGGTTCAGTTTGTGACGCATGCGGATATGCACCTCGTTCCCGATTGAACCTACCAGCGCCTCGTCGATATACTTCTGATATTGTCGGCGCACCTGTCCCAAGTCGGCGGGCGTCGGCTGCCGGACAGACGGCATCGCGATGCCCCCCATGATCCGATCATGGTGCAGACCTTGCTCGGTGCACGTTGATGACGCCCCCATTAGATTAGCACAGAGAGACTGCACAAACCAGCGATGCCACCTGGCTGCTCGTCCCAACCGCGGCGTTGAGAAATGCCCTTCCTAGAGTTTCCTGGTCCGGGCGGCGATGTTCAGCGACTCGAAATGAAGCACGCGTATCTGTGCTGCCACCGCGCGTCTCCGCAAGCATCTGAACTCGTGCGGCATGCCGTACCCACGACGTAGGATATGGAGGTCCCGCACGGTGCACCAACCACCAGGGCCCCGAACCAAAGCTCGCAACGCCTGCTCTTCCACCTGCTCCCACTGCTCCGGAATCGCCTCCAACTGCGCCACAAACATCAATGATGAAAGCACGTAGGTGGAATATGCCACTGTCGCGTGGTGCAGGCCGAGGGGGGGCCGCCCCCAATCCGCCGCACGAGCTGCGGCCTTCCGGAGGGTCCCTGCCAAGCCAAATTCCCGCGCTCGGGGCCCAAATAGAAGCCGAGGTATTTTGCAGCACACGTGATCTGAATGCTGGCCCACCCAGGGCAGAGACGGGCCACTTCCCTCCTGAGCTCCTCCGCCTCTACGGGGAAGAGAGGGATGACGGCTGTCTTGGCGATGTTGGTGCGGAGGCCTGCGACGGCAGCAAGTTCCAGGAAGTGGCGCTGCAGCTCGGGCAACGCAGCCGACAAGCTGGGCACCGTCACCCCCATGTCGTCCGCATACGCCCGGAGGATGGCTTCGGGTAGGAGGCGGCGCACGCGTCGGAGGAAGACGTCCAGCACCACCGCGAAGAGGAGCGGTGAAAGGGGACACCCTTGACGGATGCCGGATCGCACGCGAAACCCCGCGCGCCTGCCGCCCCCGGCGACCATCTCGCAGCGGCCCTCGTCATACAAGGACTCGATGAACCATGACGCGTCTCGTGGCAAACCTAGCCCCTCCAAGACATCGAAAACGTATCCGTGAGATATGGAGGGGAAGGCCGCCTTGATGTCGAACAGTACTGTGCCACCTGATTCCTCTTGCAGCGCCATCCTGGATTCACAGCTGCCGGAGGCTGCTGCGGAAGCTGTAGGTGAGGCAGCCCCTCCTGCGTAGCTGGTGGCAACACGGCCGCGGCCAGCGCGATCGGCACCGGTTGAGGATGATCGCCTCTGCCCTCGTCGACGGCGATGTTGGAGTCGCTGATGTCGGGGCCGGCGGCCTCCTGGGTCAGGCCCGTGCCGTGGTCGTCGCTTTGCGGCTGCGCCTCGGGCGGTAGCATGGCCTGGTCTTGCGATCCCGGGCCACCGCGAAGTCGAAGGAGTAAGTGCAGTGTGGAATCCTGCTGGATGTTGTAGTCGTGCACGTTCCGCTCGTCCCCCAGCTGCCTCGCCATGTAGATCAGGCACTGCTGCTCTGGAGTGATGTCCACCAAGCCCTGGATGATGCCTTTGATCGTGGCGATGGTGTCGCGGGGTTTGATCTTTAGGGTGATGGTCTTGCCAGTCAACGTCGCGACGAAGACCTGCATGTTTGGGGCTTCCTCTTTTTGGGCGTCGCGCCGCCACAGGTTCAAAGTGCAAGAGGCTCAAGCACACTCGAGGAGAAACGGCCACCGGGACCTGGCAGGGGCCCATGCACGGCGAGCACCAGCACCCTCCAGCAGGTCAGCGAGCAAGCCAGCGAGCTCGGCTCGCCGGCCGCACTGACCCCTAGAGGGTAAGGCAGCCCGCCGAGTACAATTGGCCCCGCAAACACCAGGAAACACAGTTGAACGTGTTAATCCCCTGGGGCCACCCCTCGAGAGCCTGACCTAAAAGGTGGCAGAATTGGGGATGGACGGAGGGCCGCTTGAGCCGTACACCTACGGAACGATCGAGCGAAGGAGCGTTCACCCTGAGCTCTCTCGAGGCCCGTCGGGCGAACACTATATCACCTGCTCGCTCGACGGCGGCGCTTTGCCTAAGAGGTCCAAACATACGCCACACCCCGAGGGTGTTATGTTACATGTTTGGGCTTCCTCTTTTTGGGCGTCGCGCCGCCACAGGTTCAAAGTGCAAGAGGCTCAAGCACACTCGAGGAGAAACGGCCACCGGGACCTGGCAGGGGCCCATGCACGGCGAGCACCAGCACCCTCCAGCAGGTCAGCGAGCAAGCCAGCGAGCTCGGCTCGCCGGCCGCACTGACCCCTAGAGGGTAAGGCAGCCCGCCGAGTACAATTGGCCCCGCAAACACCAGGAAACACAGTTGAACGTGTTAATCCCCTGGGGCCACCCCTCGAGAG